CGATCGTCAATCGTGTCACCCCCCCACAGTAGTCGCCAGACTTGTTTACCCCGTCTGAAGACCGTCCCTGACGACGGTCGAGGTCGCCTAATCTCGAGCCAGTTTGATCGAGAAATATCGCGGGTGATCACGAAAGTGACCAGACTAATAGTCGGCTCCATAACTGGCAGAAAGACGACTACTTCCCGATCCGGGAACGGCGGAACTCGACGACGCGTGTCCTCGCGAGAAGACACAAATTGTACACGCGAGGACCGCTCCGAGAACAAGGTTGTGCCACGTCCTCGAGCGGAAATAGTCCTGGCCAGGACACGATAACGAGTTTCAACTTTGTTCCGACTTGGACGGATCTTCACCGTGCCCTTTCGTCCTCATGAATTATTTATTCAATCGGTGGGAAGACGTACGGCTACCATGAAATTCGGACACGATAACGAAGCTCATAAAGCTTCGCGGAACCTTCTGTAACGGCCTCGTAATTTACACCTCGAAGTTACGTGGTGTCTCAACCCCTGGCGTGTGTTTAACACCGGGATGGAAGTGAAATAATTAGAGTGTTGTGATACGGGCCAGTCAGTTGGCCAGTTCGAGATGTGGAATAATCGTTCGTTGTGGTACGAAGAGGATTGAAGGAAACATTTGTTGGAAAATGAATTTTTATCTTCGTTATGTTCGTTGTGTGTGATGTCTAAAAGGAGATCAACGGTAGAAATATTCATTGAAAGTTTGAATTTTTGTTCGTAACATCGTTGTGTGTTATAATACCCATAAGATATACGGGTGACGTTCGATTTGTCGGAAAAATGAAATTGGATTATTGATTATGATAAGGAGGATTATGGATTGTTGATAAGGAGACGGAAAGAGTTTAGAAGAAATATTTGTTGGGAAGGTGAATTTTTATTTCTAATATCGTTCTGTGCGTGGTAAAAGATATTTTTGTTTTACGCCCGAGTATAATCTCAGTTTGCTATTATTGTTTATTATCATTACGAAATGAACATTTTTATTACTTGAGAATTGCACGTTTATCGAACGTTACATTTATTTCAAAGCGATTTTAGATTAAGAAGCCTTGAAAAAACTGAGTTGAGTCAGTTATGAATCAGTCATGAGCCGGTAATTCCTGTATTATTAATACGACTAATTATTTCGAGGAAATATATATATAATTTTTATCGACCGATTAATTTATTTAAATTTATTTAGATTAAAAAATTTCTTATTATATTTCTTTCCTTATGAAACTGGAATCTCGAATGTCTGACCTCTATCAATCACATTCTACTTGCATACTTACGTATCTTACGTATCGTCACATAATATTTTCCTAAAATTTATATTACGTATTTAACAACAATTATGAAGCGAGAATTTTCGAAATTGAAAGTACGGATTAAACCATAAGCCGCAGGAAGTAAATCGTGTCAAGAATACGCGATATAATCAATGATCGACCGACTTCGAAATAGTTGGAAAATTACGTTCGAGCTACTCCCTCTCCCTCTTCTTCTCTCTCTCTCTCTTTTTTTTTCTCTCTCTCTCTCGTGACTGATAAATCGAGAATGAAGCTCGACACACGAACTCGTTTCCCTCCGTAATGATCGCTTTTTCGCGATATTTATTATTCACGAAGTCTCGAACCCATTAAATTTCCGCGGCCAGCCTCTGACGTTTCACGCAAGAATTAGGAAATCGATATCGATTCTTCCGATTGCTCGATGTTCCTCGATGTATATACGATTGTATTCGATAAATATACGTCGAAAAATAAAAAAGAGCGCACGATCGTTCGAATCGATCGCGCGATTCTCGCAAAGCTTCCATTGGGATTTAATTTTTTTTTTTTTTTAATGTGCGCAAAACGTGATTTTTTTAATCGCGAAATCGTTGCACGTGGAAAGGACTGTAACAACTGTTGTTACGTAAGTTGAAAGGAGCGGATCCTCTGTGAAATATATTCTCCTCTGTAATCAAACGATCTTTTGCACGTGCTTCTCGAACGAGATTCCCTCTGAAACGATATTTAATTAATATTCAAGAAACTACTACAATCGGATACTTGAGAACAAAGGCTCTGATTTACGATTTTTAGGATAAGCGATTCTGATTTCATCCAACGAAGGAGCTGTGTGATTTTTTTCTTTTCTTTTTTTTTTTTTTTTCTAATTTTAATTTTCGAATTTTACAATTGATTATATAATGAGTATATAGAATTTTGATATCGGAATATGATCCTTCTGAGAATATTTAAAACACTCATCAGGATATTTCTATCTTAATGTTCTCTCGTGTTGCATTTCGATTAACTTAAAATTCTTGCTTAACTATTTTTTCTTAGGCATAAAAATTTTTCGTTATCCCAAGATCTGAAAGTTGATCGATATCGTCGCACCCTTTTATTTCACATTTGTGCAATCTCGAGGCAAGCATCGCGAATGGTGTGTGATTAACACGATTCTCGTGACGTGATGAATCGAGGCGTAATTCCAGTTACTTGGACACAGTAATTTATGCGTCCTCATCGGTAAAGTTCCTCGCGTTCCACTACGATCCCCCGTGAGGAAGGAGGCGGAAGAACAGGAGACGCCGGTGCATGCCTCGCATAGATACGACAAAATTGCATCTTCGCGGGGTCAGAAGCGTGGAATCCTAAGGACGTGATTCGGGCTGGGTCAAGGATAGGCAGGATGTGACGTCACACAGACCGCCAACAGATCGATATCCTGGCCACCAAGTGGCGTCACCTCTTTCCGCCTGATCTTTGTGACGACCTTACGTGCACTCATTTTTTTTATTCAAACTCCTGACAAATCACTTTCTTTCCAATATCCTGCTTTTGGATATTGTAATCAGATCTGTTACACACCGTTTTAATTCGTTTCTCAGTTTTTATGGGATTCTCGTAAACTTAATATGAATAATCGATCGATCGAGAGTTGAAAGTTTAAATAATACAGTTCTTCGATTCTCTGGAAGTGATTTCCAGAGAATTTACACTGTGATCGACCCCTGAACACCGTTCAGTCATGTAGAATCGTATATATGATATTGAAATCGTTTGTAATGTAATGACGTGTGAATTTCTTGGAAATATATCGTTTGATATTGAAGTTGAAGGAGTTAGAAATACAGGAAGTATAAATCTTCTTGTACGAGATTTCCGGAGTTTGATATAATAATTCCAAGGTTATGGAGTACTGCAAATATACCTGAATTTGCTCTCCAACTCTCCTCCACTCGCGTGTTCCTCCTCCACTTCTATCAACCCTTACAAAACTTCCACTTAATGGATCTTGTATTAAATTCTGTTTAAACTTTTCAAATTTTCGTATCTCATAAAGTAGACACCAGGCTACTATTTTCATTTCTTATTTTTCTTCTTTTATTCGTCATTGTTGAAAAAAGTTTCTTTCAAATTTCTTAGCAAGATTTCTCTTCCAAACACGATTGAAAAGAGTCGAGGCTGTTTGCCACACTTTATCCATCATTATTAAAAAATTTTCGTCATTTCTTACCACAATAATCAAACTGTAAAAAATTTTATTTTCTCGAATCTCTGTTCCCAAATGCTGTCAAACAGCATCGAAAACACCGGAGGTGACGCACGTACGCGCAGCTGGCACGTTCCTTTTGCAAAAATCCCCGCAAAGGATCGCCGTGGCTTTCATCCTCGCGGGGAACGTTGCACAGAGAAGAGTTTGTCCCTTGTTGACCCGGCACACGGCCGATTGTCCGCCGTTTCGCTTGCCAAGGTTGCCTCGGAAGAAACCCTTCACGGACAATGATTTCTTTCATGATTTCGCCGAGGCACGACACGTATAGGCGATCTATTCTGAGGTCGTCAGCGAGGAATCTTCTCCTCCTGATACGTGTCCGCCGTCTCTTTTGCATAAGAGCCCCGTCACGAGGCTTGAATAATGCTCAAAGGACGGCCTAAAGCCTTCCACGACGCCTCTATTTATTCGATCACGGGTGCAACAACCTCGTTTCTACGTAATACGTACTCCTTGATACTTCATTTCACGAAAGGGTGCGCTATAACGTATTTGTAATTACAACGAATGGAAGGAGGAGGTGGTGGTCTTTGTTGGGATAAAATAAATGCAGGGGAGGGGTTAATAAGATCTCAATAGAGCGTCCAATAATAGAGGATAATTACAGTTGATGGCATTACATCAGACGGATGAATTATTAATCACGCTCAATTTGCTATTTTGCGAGGCTGTAATGATCTGCTCGCAAAGCGTGTACATTGTGTTTGCACAAGGTTTAAGGTAAATGAACCTCTTTGAAGAAAAATTGGTTGACCTATATAATTAACTCGATTCTTTGAGATTGCGGTGTGCGGCCACTCGTTGAAATTAATTTTAACTTTTTAAAAGATTTTCTTCGTTTCTTTCTTTTCTTTTTTTTTTTTTTTTTTTTTTTTTTTTT